GGGGGGGGCGGGGGGGGGGGGGGGGGGGGGGGGGGGGGGGGGGGCGGATTCATTAGGGAGGGTTATTTTTGAAAAATAAAAAAGAACCACCCTCCTCCCTTGCTACAGTCCCAATCCTAATTCTCCCCCCTGCACATGCACACACACATCACACAGCTCCTATTTAAAGAAGCAAAAATTAGCATTCAAGCCCAAACGGTGCTTTTAATGTAACATTAAGCTTGACCTGATCAACACATCTGGCATCCAAAGGTGTCTGTTCCTCTAAGGCTCCTGGCGGGGAAAAACATGACTGCAGCTCCACTGGAAGGATGGATGTTTAGGATTCACCAGGGTTTGCCGAAGTCCTACAAAGGCTGATACAGATGCTGCAACAAGGCTCTTTGGAGAGGCTTGCAGCTCTCCGTTCAAAAGCTCTGTGCAGCTGTTCAGTCTTTTCCTCCGTAAGGGATTTGCTGCTCCAAGGAAAAGATGGGAGAAGCAGTGGGGGATTCTGGGATTGAGTCAAGGGGTTGACACCAAAGAAGACTTGGCCGGATATACCCGTTCTGACATGGTTCTAGAGGAGTGATCTGGCGATCCACTGCTTGCTTCCTTGGCCTGCTCAAGCTTTCACAAAACCAGAGTGCTACCAGCAAGGCTTTGCCAGGCCAGAACATGAAAATTAGCCTCCCCAGTTTGAAACACTCAAGTAGGCAGCAGAGTTCCCAAATCTCTTGCACGACCCCCTCCTCACAGAGCTGCTTAGTCCAGCTGTTGGTTCCAAAAGTCCCCACTGGCAGCTAAGCTAGAATTAAGCTGGAACACTCAGATGCCTTGTGATTCCATGTGGTCGAGTGCTAAACCATCATGTGGAGAAAATAGTTAATGGATGAGGCTGAAACCAGCCAAGATGGAAGAGATGCTGGTTTCCAGGCAGGCTGATCTAGAAGGAAGGATCTTCACTGTGGCTGAAGTGAATACTATGAGGACAGGTTTGTTGTGTCAAGGCAATGCTGAACCTGGCAACGACAACTGGCTGCCGGGACTCTCAGTTACAGGCTAGGTTTCCTGCTGGAGAACAGAGACTGTATCACACACCTCTGCAGTCTTTTGGATCATCTCTGTGCTTTACACGGACTGCCCTTGAAGGCGATCTAGATGCTTCAGCTGATGCAAAGCATGGCTGTCCACCTTCTGGACTGTGTGTGGAGGTGCCGTGTGGACAACCTATAATGCAGCAACCGCACTTGCTACCTGGGAACTTCTGGGCACACTCAAAATTCTGCTTTCTGTTTAAAAGCCCTTTGTAGCCCAGGGCTGCATATCTAGCAGATCCCCCCTTATCTTACATTCTCTCTTTCACTCATTGACAGCTGCACTGGATGCTCTGCTCTGTGTTAATCAGTGTGGGAGGTCAATTTGATGTCAGTAAGCAGCTGGGCTCTTTCTGTGGCTCTCCACCCCACCCCTGGGAGAAGATTGTGAAATGATGACCCTGATCACTTTTAGATGGGGCTGCAAAACTTTAGAAAGGTGGTTGGGAACTGGCATTAACCGAACTAGGCTATTTTAATTTCATTTCATTTCAAAAATTATGTTTAGCTCTGTAGAGGAAAGTTAAGATGTAAAGGAAACCTGATTCTCCCCCTTCACCATTTTATCCTCACAATACTGTGAGGAAGGCATTAATAATCGAAGCACAAGTACAACCCATGGGGTGCTTTTCACAACAGTTTTAGGCTGGCTCAAGCAGAAGCTAAGCTTTGCTGGATGGGGTCAGAGTCCCACAGAAACCCAGGGCCACATCTTGGTTGCACTCTTGGACTCAGGGCTGGATGTGGATGCCCAGGTTGTAGCAGTGGCCAGGACGGGTTGCACAGCTGTGGTTAGTGCAACAATTGTGCCCACTCCTAGGCCTATCTGAACTGGTCACAGTCACATGTACCTTGGCGGCATCCTCTGTGGTCTTCTGTAATGCACTCAGTGTAGGACTGCCTTTGGAGACATCCCAGAAACTGGTCCAGAATGCTGACTGGAGCTGATTGCAGGGAACACGTGTTACAATAACTTCACTGTTTCCAGGCAAAAGTCAGAGTGCTAGTAATGACCTAAAAGCCATACACTGCTTGGAACCAGGCTACCTAAAAGACTTCTTCTAAAGCAACCTAAGATCATATGGAGTGGCCTCTGTTTGGAATCATGGCCTCGAGAAGAATGTTTGGTGAGGGTCTTCTTTGTGGCTTCCTCCCAGGTTTATTTATTTATGTAAAGTTTTTATAGACCATTCTATAGCAAATGCTCTCAGGACAGTTTACAATTTATAGCATAAAACAACAAGACGATAGTCATAGTAACAGTTCAAAAATAACAGCTGTTAGCAAGAAAAAATAATATACAGCACAAAACACTGATCAGCAACAACCAAGCAATCATCATCTGAATAACCAGTATAAAATCACAACCATCTAGTCAACAATTAAAATAATGGGGCAATAAAAAGGTTTAACCTGTATAGCGTCGGCATCAGGCACACCTCCCTGCAGGGTTGGTTCCATAGATGGGGCACCACAACCAAGAAGGCCCTTCCCCTCATAGCCACCTTCCGCACTTCTTTTAGTGGTGGCTCACAGAGAAGGACCTCTGCAGATGACCTTAGGGACTGGGTAGGTGTATATGGGAAGAGGTTGTGGAACTCCATCGCATGAAAGTCTTCCTTTTTAGCTTCCTTCCCTCCCCCCGCCCCCACCCCTACTTTTTCTAGCAGAAAAAGGCTGCTTTAAGAAGGCCTTTAGCTTTCGTAAACTGCCCAGAGAGCTTTGGCTGTGGGGCAGTATAGAAATATAAATATTAATCATAACCTGTAAGTCTGGTGGGTTGGGAACTGTTTTTAATTATTACTATTATTTTGTAACTGTTACATTTTTATGGTAGTTTAACCACCCAGAGAGCTTTTAGACTGTTGAGCAGGGCAGAAATAAATAAATAATGCATTGTTTCAATGTTTTACCCTATTTTAACTGGTTCTGCAAACTGCCTTAAATACTATGTTTTGCTAGAAAGGCAGGGTACAAATCAATAGATAGGATAGGTATTATGTAGATGTAAATAAACTCTTTTGTGGATTCTGCAGTTCTTTCGCCAAGGAACCATTATATATGAGATAGACTCATTTAAACATTCACGTACATCACCTGATTACTGAAATGCTCAACAAAACATAGTTGAACATCTGAACTGACTCTGCTGAAAACTAAGATGCTTCCCTGCCCCAGCGTGCAATCTGTAACAGTCCATTCAAACATGCAATTTGTATTTTAGTGCTGCAGTTGCTAAAGAACAAATGTGCATGTCTGAAGCAGCCAAAGGCTCCCAAACCCAAAAGGCAGTGTTCTAACAAGTTCATCGTTCTTGTCTCGGCTGTGCCACATCACAGCATAGGTGGGGACTGGCATGACTGTATCTAGCAACAACATGAAATATTCCTACCCATAAAACAGCAGAAATAGAAGGGACAAGGGTTTCAGCCTCTAACTCCCTGGCAGGCAGCGTTTCTGTTGTAGGAAATCTTTTGCAATTAGCAGCTTTCTGACATAGTTCAAGCCAAACAAAGGATCACCATCTGAGAAAGAACCATGCTACTTCCTCTACTGTTCTGTGTCTTTCCCACAGCTTGCCTTCAGGGCTCTGATCCAAAGAACTTCTGGTACCTAGGAGTGTGTCTGTAGAAATTCTCAGGGGGTCGAGTATGCATTACCTTACTGGCCAATGCTGTCATTCATCCCCACACAAGCCTTTCTACAGACGGTGGGGCAGATCTGTCTTCTGCACACGGACTGTTTTTGCTGGGTCGGAGCACGTGGCTATCGCTGGGAGGCTTGGTATGGTCAGTCCTGGGCCCTGCTGGTCTGTAAGCTTTCCTCTACCATAGGAGGCACCCTAGGAGTTCAGCAGCTGCCCTTGAACTGACTCAGGTTTCAATGGCAAGTGGTGATTTAAAGCGAAGTTAAGATGGTGGAGGGATTTTCCCAACAATTACAAACTGCTAAATCAGGCAGTCAAGAGTTCAGCACTAAAATTTAATTATCATTCTTTTTATTGAAATTGCACACACATCAGCTGAGGCTTGAACCAGTTTCAAAGAAACAATTTTGAAATCCAAGGACTGGCACAAATACAATACAGCAATGTCCCCCCACCTGCTCCAAACAGTTCCAGCTTGCACAATGTCACCCCTTGAGCAGCTAGACGGGGGGTCGCCGGGCATCCACTGATCCTACTTTTGCTGCCTGGCTGCAACAGCAAAAATGAGGGCTCTGTTCAGCACTTGCCAGGCCAGGGTATGCGGCTGGTATGTCGCACTTGGCCTGGTGGGCTGCTGTTTGGTCAGGTCTGGAACAGATGCAGTCTGAGCAAAACTTAGACATAAGCTTCCTGTGCAATGCCATAATCAAAGACTTAACATGAGGCTTTTTTCCCACAGTATGGTATGCAGAATGATCCTGGAAGGGATTTAGGGGAAAATGTCATCCCAATTGCAGTCAAAGAGGGAAGGGGAAATATACGGTCTTGGGACTGGCCCCTCCACAGATGACAGGTGCCATCAGAAATTACGCATTTTATCTCGGGGAGGGCACTTTCTGGATTTTCTCTCAGGCACTAAAAATGGCTTGAGTTGGGCCCGGCCATCTTGCTGCACCCAGCCCGTTACGCATCTCCCTGCACGGTTTCCCACAGTGCACTTGGAGTATTCCTGAAGTCTGATCCTGCAGGACAAGTTGTGTTACCGAGCGATGCCGAACGAGCTCTCGTGATTTGGCCTGCTTCCTGTGTGGCATACCAGTGGGCTCTAGAGGACCTGGCACAGGCCTTTGTCCTCCCTTTGCTGGCTTGGGTTTTTGTTTAGCTTTTTTTCCAAAGGCAGGAAAGGAATGCTTTGCATCTGACACTCTTTGCACACTCGGCTCTTCTGTGTGCTTCTGCCTGGGCATGCTGTTTCCAACAGGCACTGAAGGAAGGAGGGAGAAGCGAACCTTGGTGCCCGGAAGCCCAAGGCAGGCAGGCTGCGGCAGCCCTCCTCAGCCAGCCACTAAATGCTTCAAGGACCGAGTGACCCATCTACAATGTACAAACAGGATTTTTCTTTGCTTTGGGTATTCTATTATATACTGGTACATGTGTTCGCCACACTTCTATCACACCTTTCCTGCAAGGAGATCAGGGCAACATACATGATCCTCCCCCTCTCTGTTTTATCCTGACAACAACCCTGTGAGGTAGGCTAAGCTGAGAGTCAGTGTCTGGCACAGAGTCACACAGTGAGCTTTATGGCTGAGTACGAACTAAAACTGAACTCATTCTTCAAGTGGGGAGTCTTGAGCAAGCAAAATGGCACTATCTGCACACCAACCTTTGCAGAAGTACAAAACCCTTTAGGAAATAAAAATATACAGGGGGGCACCCCAAAAACTGCCCAATGAGGACTGAGCATGCTCAGCAAGCACAAAATGTTGGCTGGCTACTGATGGAGGAGTAGAAAGGGAGTCGACAAAGGGGAATGGAATGGACAATCCTTAAAGAAGGCATGGCTGGCTAGCACAATGAACAGGAGCATTGCAAACAGCATTTTGTTACAAATATCAACTTATGCTTTAAAACAGAGATAAAATGTATATTAAAAACCTGCCCATTTCATTCTTCCAAAGAAGGAAAGAAAGTTGACCTGGCAACAAGGTGGCAAAGAAGGCAAACATGAGTCGGCCCCCAGTGTGCATGGCCCCCCACTCCCCTCGACTTGGCCCCCTTCCCCGTTCAGTCAGCTCCCTGGCCTTGCATGACCAGCACTGGGTGCCCGCAGCAGGGGCAAAGCCCTCTCTCTTCCTCCTCCTCAGCCAGGCCAGCCTGGCAGGAAGGTAGCCCGGAGGGCACGGACAGCTCAGAACAAGAACAGGGAAGGCCCTGTCTGTTTCTGGCATGGGGGGCTCTTACCCATCCAGCATATTTTGCAATTCTGACATCAGGGTGCAGAATGCAGTCAGGCCTTTTATGGATTCTGCTTCCTTCTTTTTTATAAAAGAAATCCAAAGGCTGCACCATGAAATGTTGACTCTTGCAATCTATACATTATGCACATGTTGTAAATGCCTTATTTTGCTTGCTTTATTCTGATCCGGCTAGTCAGTAAGGAGGTATACAAGGCAGTAAAGCTTCATTCTTTCATCACTGGCTCAGCTTTCCTTAGCTTTCTTCCAGAGGGGTAGCTGAGTTGGCCTGCAGTAGCAAAAACAGCAGAGACCTGCAGCACCTCAAAAACTAACACATCTCTGAGGCGCAAGAGGATTCCTTGTCCCCTTTGGCCCGACACTCTGCCACGTGCTGTCCACACGTCTGCAAGCCTATATAGCAGTCCTGCACCAACATACCTGAGAGTAAGTCCTACTGAACTTAATGGGACTTACTTCTGAACAGACATGCATAGCATGCTATACAGCCAAAACCTTTTAAAACAGAATATCGAATCTGAGGTCACATTCATAATGTGCATGGCATGTTAGCACAGAGGACTAGTATCCCTCTCGGCCTTTGTACTTTGTTTCTAAAGGGTTCACTGATTATCTCCCTGTCCAGCCCAGATTACATTTTTATAGGCCTGGCAACTAAAACTAAAATTCTACCCAACCACCAATTACTGGGCACATTTATACCATTAACTTAAGCTTACTTAAAATTCCCTTTTCTGATCTGCTCTGTCAACCAGTGGGTGGTGGTCCTCCCTCATTTGCTCCTGCCTTCTCATGTGCTTTAAACCTCACTGGAGGGCTTATCTTTGTTTACTGGGGAGGGAAAATGCTACCATCCACTTGAACAAAAGAATTTGCCTTCGTATCTCGTGGCATACATCCTTCTCTGCCTTTAACAATATGCAGCACAAGTGATCAGATCCCTTGACAAGCAGATGGTGCAATGGTGAAGAAAATTTTGCGTGCTGAATTTTGGCCTGGCATGCAGCCTTTAAAGGCACTGGGTTGCTATGGGGGCAGAGGGCAGGCAGAATGTCATAAACTGGCCTCTTGGCCCTCTTAATCCATTTTTCTTCCAAAATCTAAAGTGAAAAGTACATATATTAAATGTGGCCTACTAAAATGGTTTCATTTTTAGTTTCCTACCTCCAGTTAAACCTTTCCACATTGATCCAGCTGCCACATTTCCCCATTTGAATATCACTGCATTAAAATAATAAAATCAAAGTCTATTGTTTGGATGAGGTCAGATTAACGCAGCTTCTAGATAATCAGAGAATTGATATCTACTGCCACCTGGTGGCTGATTGGTGCTACAGAACCTTCATCAGCAATCCATGGTGCCTTATTCTTTTAACTTTGGTTCTTTTCTTGCCTTGAGTAACTTCAGAACCCTTTGGCACGCTTCACATAAAAGGCACTTTTGGCAGCCTCCTCCTGCTTCCTCTGTTTCTCTTGCAGTTTTTCCCAGAGAAAGAAACTGCATACATGCTTGTGCTGATTTCGTGCCCTATACTCGCAAAGCACAGTGCCCAGACTGATGTCATTTCACTGCTGCAGAGACATCGAAGCAGTCCTTCAGCCACCTGTCTCTAGGAAGGCGCAAGAAATCCACAATCATTGCCAATGTCCAGGTAACTTATCACCTTCAGCTTCAGGTCAGAAAGGAAACTTCCTTAATTCCTTAATGATTCTGTGAACACCAGAAGCAAAGAGGAGGTATCTGGGCTTCACAAGCAGCCTGCTTCTGAATCCGCAGGGCTTGACTGATCCAGCGGTGGCTCTTTGCTGCAGGAACCAAAATAGAACCTGAGAAGCAGATGATATCAAAGCTTCTGGGGACAAACCGCAAGAGATGTACCCTCCTGCCAGGCTGAACCCTGGCCTGTGATCTTCCCAGAGGCAGCTGATGCAGAATGCTGTCCTGCAGGAGACTTTGGTTGGATACAGCAAGTCTTATCAAACTCACACAATATCACTTCAATCTACACTGTCAATATCACTCTTTCAAACGCAGAGTGCAGATGTGTGGAAGGAGAAATGCTGCTGATTTCCTCTCTGGATCCAGCTTGCATTTCATCTTGAAAATTCTCAATTAGTTTCGATAGTCTGATAAGGACAGTCTTTCTGGTTTAACTTCTGCAGATTTATTCTAACTGCTGTTGCTGCTGCTAAGTAAAATCATTTTCCAATCCAGCTGGGAAGTAATTTGAGCCTCAGCCTGCAGCCTCAAACCTGGTTTTCAGCACCAATGCTTAGTTCTGAAGCACATGCGATTGTGCTAATAAATCATGAACTGAGTGTATCTGAGCATGTACAGAATGTCAATGCAAAAAAAAAATCATTATAATCAGTGTGGGGTCACATTGTATGGCCAGCTTCAAGGTCAGAGATCATATCTTGCAGGAGGGTTGAGACCAGCACCGTATTTTTGCTTGGATTTAGACGACACTGCAGAGGAGGATTTGACTTCTCTTGGTCTCATTACAGGTGAGGAAATAGTTTATACAGTACTACTAAGTTCCTCGTGGTTTGGCAAAGGAGACCAAAATAATCATTCAATAAAGCAGCAAGATGAGATTGAAGCAGCTGACGCTTCCGACAGGCAGTGGTATGTCACAGCACAAACAAACAAGGTTGCTAAATATTCCATCCTGTTGAAGCTCGCTCTGTCATCTTCGGTGCTGTTTTTGAAATCCCTTCAGCAAAGCCAGATGGAGCAGCAGATCTAACCCACTGAACTTCTTGAAAAGAGAATAGGAAAAAAGCAAAGGAATGGAAGAGAACAAGCAAAACAGTTCCTGTTTTCTTCAGAGAAGCATGAAAAGAGCTGGGAAGGCAAACTGAGAAACCCTGAGCAAGTTCCAGGGGAAATGAAAAAGTATATCCTGATACATCCAGGTGGAAAGGAAGTCAGTTTATTACACCATGGCAACAGGATCCAGATATGGATGCGTCAGAAGAACGAAGGACAGAAACACGAAGTGTAAATTGTCACTGACTCCCTGCTTAAAGCGCTACACCGCCTGGATGCTGGAAATTATCGATGGATGTCTTCCGTAGAGGTCAATGCCATTTCTCAAACTATGTCCCACCACGAGCTTTAGTCTATTTTAAGAACGTCAGAATTGGCCTTCAAAAGATAGAGGCTGTCGTCAACGAGGAAACTGCAAGTAGAAGAGGAATAAGAAAATTACTGGAGTGATAGGCAAGTGATGGACAGGGCTAGCTGATAATTAATGTTTATCTGTTGGCCTTTTCAGTAGAACCTGCACCGAGTCAAAGGACTGGAGAGCTATCTGCTTCCAGCCATGTCCCAACTTTCCCCCTGCCTCTCCATTTTAGTCCCACCCATCATGTTCCAACACTTTCCATGTGCATAGTAACAGGATACCCATGAAACTCTGAAAGACAAGTTTCCAGAAATAGCGGCAGCAAGAACTACATGGCCTCCACTTTATTCCCTTGTTCAGTGAAGGCATGTGAGATGGGTTACCGTTTCACATGGGACAGACCAAAGATTCCGATGTTTTCCAGCTGTGGGGGCTGTGTTGTAAATCAGGAGTGGGAAACATGTGGCCCTCCGGATATTACTGGACTCAAACTCCCACCAGCCCCACCCAGCATGGCTAATGGTTAGGGACAACAAGACCTATAATCCAGCAACAACTGTGGACCAGAGACTCCCTAACCTGCTGTAGATACTACACTGTTTCCGCACAAATCAGTGCTTCATAACACTCTATTTTCCTTTTCTAAAAACATCTAAATTAGGAAGGGGTGTTCTGAATGTTCTGAAGCCCTGGAGTGGGAGCTGTGTGCGTGGACACACACAGGGACTGGGAAATTTAAACCTGCCTGCTGAGATGCAGGGACACGGAGTCCGAGTTCTAATCAGTGCTCCTGCATTCCTTTTAGTAGTCAGGAAACAGCTATCAGTGCCAGGATCACTGGGGAGAGTGAGCTTATGGCTTCTCTCTTTGCTGCCCTTGGACACTGTGAAGCACATTCCCGTTTCCTTGCTGTGAATCAACAGGGAGGGTGCGCTGCTCCTGCCCCACTGCCCTAACCAGCTGTAGGGGAGTTGTGGGCATCTTGCAGTTCCGCAGGCCATGCCATGAGCCCCCAAAAATCACGTGTGAAAGCAGGTGGCTGCATCTTGTGGCAGCGATCTCAGAGATTGAGTGGCAGAAGGTGCACAAGTGAGAAATGCAAGATGCAAGGTGAGTAACCCAGACTGACCTGTAGAAAAGGATGTTGACAGGAATGGTGCTGATGTGCCAGATGGCGTGGGCATCGAAGATCCAAAACAAGGGCGGGAAGTCCAGGAGCTCCAGGAGGGCCAACCCCTGGAGAAGCAGCACAACCACCACACACTTCCAGACATAGGGCAGGCGCTGCTGGTTCCTCATGCACCAACCCAGCCACCAAAACAGGTTGAGGAGGCCTACAGAGAGCAGCAGAGGGGGGAAGAGGGTAATATCTCTCTTAGTAGATGGAGGCATCCATTGGACATCCGGAGGGCCCCACCAGTAGCACTTTGGAGCACCATCCCCAGCAGCTTCCTCCTCACAGCAAAGTCCAAAAACTGTCGAGTTCCCAAGCACTCCCCCACCAAAGATACAGGAAGAAGCCTGGTGAGGCTGGACCTTCAAGCCCCAATTGTGTGATGGGACAGGGGCTCCCTGGCTTGAATCAGGAACAGCAGAGGCCAAGGAATCTAGGCTAGTAAGGTACTCGGGTCACACCTGCTGGGACCCAGATGCCATTCAGACACACAAGGGTTGGAGAACACAAGTTCCACCATGGGACTGGGCATGACCACAACAGCTCTTGCCGGGCTCTAACAAGATTGCCACTGCTTCTTCTGGCTGAATTTCAATTTCAAGGGAATCCAGCAGCAGCAGGAGGAAGCCTCACTACAGGTCCCAGTGTTAGCTTATACCACAGTGTGAAGTTAACCACTGCAGAGGACTAAACATTTCCAGTGGGAAGCACTCCATGTAAACAACAAGCAAGGAAGGCACATGTGTTATGCGTATCCAGGTATTTAGCCTTTCCACTATAAAGGTTGTGGCATTTTGGCAGAATGCTGTGCAGGGTGTGTCTCAGCCCCATCTGTTCAGACTTATCTTTGTCTTGAAAAGAAATGAAGCATCAATTAATTGGATCTCACCGATTGCCACATTGGCAGTCATATTGTAGCCGTAGTCAAAACGCACAAGTGTCAGATATGAGACATGGCAGGCCAGGAAGAGGAACAGGAACCCCCCAAAAGCAGTGGCAAAAGCTGGACGTTTCAGGCCCAGGGTCCTGCAAGAAAGAACAGATGCTGCTAAAGAAACTTCCAAGATCTATAGGATATTGCATGGATCACTCTTGGCCTATTTGCCCTCAAGCTGTGAAGATCAACCTTGCTGCTGAGCAAATGAACTGGCATCCTTCTTGCCTCTGAAAGAGACCTTTGATGGTCACAGGTGTAGCAGAAAACCCAAACCTATTGCAGGCACTGTACCACTACACCAGCTTCCCTAATGCAGCTCTTTGCAATTGATTTGCTTTGTGCTTGGTTGCCTCTCACCTATCCATGCACAATTCGTCTAAATCTGGGTAGGGATGTGCAAGGAATCTGTTTGCAGGGAGGAATCTGTTGGTTTTCCTGGTTTTGGTTCCCCCTTCTATGGTCCACTTTGCGGCAGCCCAGAGTGTGAGTCCCTGCAGGTTCTTCCAGAGCTTGCTTGGTGCTTGCTAGGAATCAAATCCCATGCATTGCATAAACAGTGTTCCTCCTCCACACCTGTTGCTACAAGCAGCAGCAGCAGCAAGTGGGGAAGAAGGCAGGATGCTGGGAATGGTGCTTGGTGCGCCCACTCTTAGCACCCCTCTTCTGTGCCCACAACTGGCGGCAGCACTAGGAACGAAGCTTTGCACACCCACTCCACTTTTGCATCCTTCAGCTGCTGTGAAGCTTGCTGGTTGTGTAACTGTGGGTCAGCGAGTGTTTGTGGACTTCTTCTCGACCCAGCCCACTTTGCAGGACCAGGCCATGTGTGAAAGGGAGTCCATGGATGCTAGAGGGATGGACTCTAAAAGGGTTTGTCCCAGTCCTGGGTCTGGAGCTTTTCGTTTGGTTGGTTTTTGTGGTTTTCATGCTTTAGAATAAAAGTTTCCAGTGAGCTTCCTGATGAGGGTTTTATCCACTGCCCTACTTAATGCACAAAATTTTATTGGTGTTCGAGTATCTTTGTCTTCATATTTTGCCTTCTCAGTTTCTCACTTTTTCTTCCACCCTTTCTCTTTCCATTAAAAATAATCTTACAGCGGAAACAACAGAATAGGCACACAATGCCTTTTGATTGGAAACGCTTGGAGTCCTTCACCTAGAAGCACCCGCAAATGAGAACTGTGAAGCTGTATTTACAGGAGATGGAAGAGGGCCTGCGGCTTGCCGTTTTGCAGACTGGCGAAGGAAGAAGGTGATGCGAGGAACGGCCAGGCTGCTCTTCGGGGGATGATGGTTGCAGCGAATGCACCCCAGTCCCTATTCTCCTTCAGAAGCTCTTGGCAGCATCCCCACTGAGGAAAACGAGTGAGCAGGCCATGAGCATGGCAGTGGGGAGCAGCCCAGCCATCAGAAAAACAGTCCCTCCTGGCAACGGCCAAGAGGAAAGCATGCCGAAATAACTGTCTGTCTGGATATGCGGGGGTCGTACTTCAGGAAGGTCAGCCTCTCTTTCCTGATTGTGAGTCAAGTGCTAATCTGGGACAGGACATGGAGGGAGGTGAGACCTGGTCCAGCTGCCTGCTGTCTTTTAGAAGACAGATCAGGCAAAAGGTAGAGGGTGCAAATATCCACTGGCTGTCCTCAACAATTCCCTTGTACAGCTGATACAAGCAAGCCGCATGCTTCCATTTTATTTACTTATTTAAAAGCTTACATCAGGAGTAGGCGACCTGATGCCCTGTGGATGTTCTGGACTATAACTCCCATAAGCCCCAGCGATCATGGTCCATGGTCAAAGATGATAGAAAATGCTATCCACACATCTACATGACAGTAGGATGCCTCCATGAGTTTTCCCTTCTTTTAAGTCTAGATACCCTCTAACTTAGCAGTAGAGCTTTGCCTACAGAAAGTCCCCTGGTCCAGCAAGCGACACCTCTAGGTAGGCTGGGAAGGAATCCATCTTAGCAAGCTGCAGAACTGCCGCCAATCAGTGGAGCAAACACGACTGCGTGGAAAGCACCGTGCAGTATCTTATGTTTCGAGAGCAGCTAACAATCAGTCTGGTTACCGCAAACACTTCAAGTTAACAAACACTCAGCCCTCATTCACTGATTAACAGAAGTCCTGTCTTAAAAATCAGTCAACAGGGCATGTGCTTGTATTTTCTGAATAAGCTACAGGATGCTGGGACAATTCTGCCAACTTGGATGGCTATAAAAAGGGAAAAGGCAGATTCACAGAGAATAGGCTATCAGCTGCACCTGGCTGTGATGGCTCCGTGTTACCTGCAGCACCAGAGGAGGGATGCCTCTGAAAGGCAGTTGCCAGGGATGTGAACGGCAGAGGCCACTGTGCTCACGCCCTTCCTGCAGGCTTCCCAGGGCACCCAAATGGTCACTATGGGAGCTATGGGACTAGACAGAGATTTGATCTTATTCAGCCTTCCCCAACCTGGTGGCCTTCAGAGGCATTTGGATTGCAACTCCCAGAATGTCCATGCAGCAGGGCCATTGACAGGGAATTCTGGGTGTTGCCGCCCAAACATGTCTGGAAGGCACCAGGGTAGGAAAGACTGGTCTAATTATTCGAAAGAGAGACTCACCTAACGCAACACAAGTACACAGAGTGAAGGATGACTGCTGAGGCACAGAAATAGTCCATTTTCTGTGGAAAGAGAAATTTAATTAAGAGCGCTGAGCCAGGACTTCCCAATGCTATGAACTAGCTTTAAATATCTCCTGCCACTTCTCATATAAGCTGGAACTCAGAAGTTTCTTGCTCTGATATTTTCTCCCTTGACATAGATAATAACCTGTTTGGAATATTTTGACACCTGACTGTTCTCGCTCGTGGCAAAGCCTCCCAGGAAGGCTTCCCCCGGTAATATTTTCTTCCATGCTCCTCCCCAGATTTTGTGGTTGTGCCATAGCAGTTAAAGTGCTGGACTAGCAAAGGGAGATTAAGATCCGTACTCACCACCAAAGCTCCCTGCTTATTCTCGAGTTATTCATGCCTTTTCCCTCAGCCTGCACCTACCTCACAGGTTTGCAGTGAGGATAACAGTGGGGAAGCATGTCTGCCTTAAGCTCCTTAGGGGAAACGTCATCAATAAATGAGTTCGGCACAACCTTATCCTCCTACTGAAATAAAGCTTAACTACATGTAATTGAACAGAGATACTGTTCTCCCCCATTAACTTTTGCCTCCTCCTCTCTTCACCTCCATTATCTTTTACATTGTAAGCCTCTTGGGGCAGGGATCCATCTTTATCGTAAAATGCCCTGCACAGTTACATGAATGGGTTAGTTGCTCTGAGAGGCAGGGAAGGGTTAACTGACATTAGGCTCTTATTTGGAAGAGATACCATAAATCGCACCCCAGGGATGCAGGAAATAGCTGCAAGGAGGGGCAAACAGTCAGCAGGGACCATCATCTCATGGGTCAGCTCACCTGGGCTGGCGGGGAATAAAGCCCGAGGCCTGGAAAGGCTCGGCATCCCTCTTCAAGGTCTTTGGTCGGTTGTAATCTGGTTTGATTACTGCTCCTTTCCAAATCCACTTCCCCTTCCTCTCACCCATTTCTCTCCTTTTACCTTTTTAGCTGTTTTAGTACCTCCCACCCTTATATTTTATCCTTTTAATAAAGTTAGATTTTCCTCCAAAGCTTGGGTTTGTTGTGTGCTGAATCCAGTGTCTGGTCCAGGGATCTGGAACCAGAGAGTTACTGGGCAGGATTTTTAACCCCACTGGCCTTGAGAGTGGGGAATTCTGGTTGGATTTCTACCACAATAACAAACAACAAAAATTATGTCCTTGGCAAAACTATGACCCTATTATGACTTATCTGGAAGACTATCTTGTGCATGCTGTGGAACTTTTCTGAGAGTTTCCCCTCCCCACATTTATTTAATGCTTTATTCAAAAGAAGATAAAAACTCTGCAAATACTTTTGCCATGCTTTCAGAATTTCCCCAAACTTTGCAGGCTTTCAGTTGTTCTTATGGTGCAATGTTTATGTAGACTTATGTGCACTGCCCTGAAACGCCTTTAAGGATGAAGACACCATCTATAAATTAGTAAATATCCCTATTTAGTTTCTGCAGTGTTTTTGATGTTACAAGGTCATAACTGCTTACCTCAGTTAGATTTGTTTCTCGGGTATGGAAAATGGTAGACCAGAACCATGCATTTAAAGAAACCTGAGGGAGTAAGGAACAAGAGAGCAGAAGAAAGAGACAACTTGAAAATCCCATGTTCTGAGAGATCAAATCAGTTCAGCTGCTGAGCTAACACTGGTGGGGAGGGTCTGAGACCTGACAGGAGTATGAGAGATGCCCTCCTCACTCCTTCCTTTTATTCTGAACATCTTCAAAACTGATTGGAGCAAGAAGTAGAGAGCTTGCATTTCAGCAGGCGTGGCTGGGGTTTTATTTTCTCTCCCATCAAGTCCTTGAGCAACAGAGATCCTGCCCTCTCCCACACCCAGCTGTCATTGCATGCACCTCTATCCTCTCCTTAACGGAGGGCACTGAGAAATGCTAACCCAGCCATGCCAAACCTGGAGCCTTCCAGACATCTGGGACTTCAACCCCATTAATATGGCCTACGCAGTGAATCATGGGGAACTCTGGGAATTGTAGTCCAAACCAGCTGCTGGACACCAGGTTTGCAAAGGCTGTTCTAACACAAAAGGATTGTCATGGGGTGGGGGGAGGGGACAATGTTTAGATGTCACATACCCAAGCAAAGGCGATGCAGGTGTGATACATGGGAGAAGAGCGGGGAACGGTGGCTTTGTATCTGTTCAGCATCACTAAATTGGCAAGTCCATTAAGGAATGAAGCAAAGGCAGAAGCAGGCTCCTGAAAAAACAGGAAACGGGAAAAGGGCCACTATGGCAGAGGAGGGGGGAAGGGAGAACAGGAGGGGGAAAATGTGATCAACCAGAAATTAGGATGTTTGCACTTATTCCCAGAATCACTTAAGGTAGTTAAAGTGAACTAAAACAAGGGTGGGCAACTTGCAGCCCTCCAGATGTTGCTGGATTACAACTTCCATCATCCCTCACCACTAGTATGCAGTCCAGCATTAACTGAAGGGCCATAAGCTGCCCAGCACTGAACTAAAGTCAAGACTTCCAACTGGGATGCTTGATGGGGTCATGCTTAAGGCAAGTGAGGAGAAATTGAGCTCTGTAGTTTTCCCACAGTCCCAAAAGCCTGAATGAAAGAACTACAGTATTTATTGTATTTATTATTTATTTATTAAAACATTTTTATGCCGCCCCATTCGCCGAAGCCTCGAGGCGGCTTACAGTAGGAAGGGGTGAGTTTCCACTTCCTTTCTCCCATTGACAAGGGGTTAAACAAAGGGCCAAATAGACATGAATCCATTCATACAATTAGCAACTGCATGAGGGTATTTTTTAAAAAGTAAACCTGAGATGTCGGGGTCAGGTTTCAATCTTCATGGAAAAGATGGTGAAATATAACCCTTTAATTCCTACTGCAGTCCCAACAAGCACTGGAAGGATAGCTTTCATTGATGCCAGTAGAAACTTTCTTTGAAATGTAAACAGCATATTCAAAGAAGTGATTTTTGTTGTGCAGGTTCGAGGGCTGCATATTTCCCTGTCAAAAATCCCTGTCTAGTCTGTTTTAAAGGGAAACCTTTGCTTTCACAGTTGTCAAAACGCAGAGCTCCTATAAACAGGGGTGCTCACACTTTTCCACATTTCTGGGCACCTAGAATTTTCCGCCCAGAAAAATGGTAGAAAAGGTGCAGAAAACTGAGAACAGTCAGGCAAAAGCAACAGCCACCACCCCTTACCGTGAAGGGGAGGATATACACACCATCTCCAAAAAAAAGGGTACATGGCTTTGCTTTTATTTGACAGCACATCATTTGAAAGCTGTCAAGTGAGTACAAGGTAACAAATTAACCTATTTGCAACCTCTCTTGTTCAATGACCACGGTTGATACCAACTATGCTTTGACACTTGATACTTCTCAGGAGAGTAACCAGGCAAGGTTTTTCATTTCAGACTCCTATAGGTATGCAAGTGCACATTTGTGTAAGACCAAATTTATTTTAAAAAATACAATTTGTGCAATTATAATCTGTGCAAATGGTAGAACCAAGGAAAATGCACAAGATGTTCCAGGAATGTTTTAAAATATCCAGTGAAGACCACTGCCACTGACCAGGAATGTTGAATTTTAAAGCAGGCATAATCCCCAGCATCACATGTCCCTAGTCAGGGTGAATGAAGTAAGAAAAAAGCTGGTTACCAATGTAAAGCCACAGAAATATGTGGCAGAAGCACTGCACTGATCGCTCTGCTTCTCCCTGCAGGTCCATCAACAGGGGAATATGTCCCTGTTCGCTAGCTTGTAAGGGCCATAGTACAAGAGTCCATGCTTTGTAGGCTGATGGTTCCAGGTTCAGCCCTGGGCATCTCCACCTGAAAGCATCTTGCACAGTAGCTCTGCGAAAGGCCCAGAAGTGCCACCGTCAATCAAAGAAGACTGGGTTGGATGGGCAAATAATCTGCCAGGAATAAAGGATGCTGTATATATTCATAACCTTGAGCCATTCGGTTCACAAACATGGCTTACCTTTCCATGAAACTGAGGCACTTTGTATCCTTCCTGCACATAAAAGTCCACAGTTCGCCACATACATTCATATTTACAATCATCTTTGCAGGTCCACCCTAGAATATAGATAGGGGAAAACAGATAATATCAGGGTAAGGGGGTTTATTTAGACAATGCCTGGAAACAATGGAACTTCCTGAAATAACGTTCAAGAAGTAGGATAAGTTGGGAAGAGCCTCAGATTTGTCAAGTAGCTTCTATTTTATGTGGTTACAGCTTATCAGCGCCAAGTCTTATTTCCTTCTGGCAAGATTTTTGTAGCCAAAACTGCAAAGGGCTGCTAAGGCTGATGATGTTTTATTTGTAAAAATATTAAGGGTGTAATCCTATGTATATTTAAACAGAAAAAAGCCTCCAATTCCCCACATCCCCCTGGCAGCCATACTGACTAGGAAATTCTGAGAGTTAGAGGCCTTTTTGTGTTGCAGGTTTCCAAATTACCCTGCTTGGAATAAGGAAAACTCAAAGGTAAATATAATATCTGTACTAGCATCACAATCTGATATCCCATGTGAATATCCCAAAATTAAATGAACTGAAACATGAATCAGCCATTTCTAGCTATGATGCATGTGAAGATATAATAGGGTAAGTGGCAATGGTGAAGTTTTCCTGAATAAGGGAGGCAAGGTGAGGGATGCTGAAGGATGCAATCCTACATGCACTTAATTTATTAATTAGTTCATATCCTGTTTATCTTCCAAGAAACACAAAATGGCACATACAGTTCTCCAACATGTGATTATCACAATCACCCTGTGAGATAGGTTAGGCCAAGAGGGAGAGTGAATGGTTACTTAGTGAACTGCATGGCTAAGTGGGGGAACCAAACTTGCATTTCCCCAGCTTAATCTAACCACTACACCACTTTTAATACATTGAAGCCTAACTACTACACCACATAAACTCCACTTACTTGTTTAACTGAGGGTGCAATCCTATGCAGAAAAAGATCCAACAACTCCCAGAATACACAACCCACAGGTTTGTTTCCAGTTAAACATGCACGGGGCTCAGCAGCAGGAGAATGGTCTTAGTTTGTATCTCCCACAGGAAAACCAGAACTTAAGGAACTGTGGCTTCCCATTTAATGACTATAACTTAAAGCTAACCTGGCAGACAGAAGGCTGAACAAATTCCTAATGCTAATGCTACAATAAATCATATAGTAATTCTTCTATCAAACTGGTTGATAAAGTTATGGTATGAGCAGTTTGTGGCCTCTATATGTTCTAAACTACAACTTCCATCATTCCTTGTTGCTGACGAAGGCTGATGGGAGTTATGGACCAAGACATCTGAAGGACACAAAGTAAGCAAGGAGAAATAAACCCTGCAAGAACAGTCACAACAATAGTTTCTCGGAAGGGAGGTGCTTTACAAACATTAAAGACAGAGTAAGTTACATGCTTAATTTGCAAGAGCTGAGCAGAGCTGTGCGGACAGAACATTTTGACGGGCTTTTATTCAAAGGGTCGTCATAACTCGGAGACGACGTTGCAGCACGTAGCAACAGAAGTTGCTGCAGCTCCATCACCTCTTTCGGGAGGTTACCGAAGTCTTACTTTCAAAGGCCGGAAAACTGATGGAGTCGCATTCTCAGTGCTTTGCAGCCAAGAGATAAGCGTGAAACCGGATCGCCACTACTTCCAGCACTCGTTGCTCACCAATATGTGAAATGCACTCTGCACATGTTCGGACACTCTCCTTTTCACCATTCCTACCGCTCGGCCGCCTGCCTTTCCAAGGCTGACTCGGAAAAAGGTTTAGCATTTGGTAAAGTAAACAAACAGGCAGCGCTTCCAGGGTGGGCAGCACGGCTATACAAACAGAGGGCGGGGCACTGCCGCTGGTGGGCGTGGCTATGCAAAAGCAGACAATGCCGTGGACCCCCTCGAGTCGTCCCCTATGGTGGGCGTGGCTCTCCCTTGGCGGGGTGGCTCAGCCGGGAGCCTGTTCAGTTACCTGCGAGGCTCATGTAGAGCGGCTGGTGGGAGCGGAAGTGCCGCAGCCCGGGCCCCGAGCAGTTGCGCTTCTCGCAGCGGGCCAGACATTCTCGGTAGACGGGCTCTCGGTCCCCCCGTGAACCTTCTACGGGGCTCGGTCCGACTCCCGCCGCCCCTAGAAGCAGCAGCAACGCGGTTGGAGCGGCCATCCCGCCTCCAGGGAGGGTAGGCGCTTCACTTCTGCTTTACGTCGGAAATGGTTCTTTCCCAAACTAGCTAAGAAAGCCATAGAGTTGCGGAAACCTGAACTACGCTCAAGATTCCGCCAGGGCCGCAAAGCCGGGGGATTGTGGGAAATGCAGTTTTCTCGTACCCAGTCGCATTTCGAAGGCGTGAGAGAATTGCGGAGGTGGGACTTCGTTCGAACGCGAAGCGGAGAATCGGTGGCGATAATAGGCGGCTCCTCCTCCCGTCTTGCCTCCTGCTGAAGTCCAAGAAGGCGGAAAGGACAATTAGCCCCGGGTTTCCTTTGGTTTTCTCTGTCATTCCTACAGCTCTTATTTACAAGGGCGCAGCTCGCTTTGATGGGACCCCGATAAAGTTTCCCCACCGTCGTCATCCAGTCCTCCTGCCCTCTCTTTCCTAATCCGCTGGCGGCTCTTTCTTCGCTTGACTTGTGCTTTTGGTGGTCGTGTGAACTGGGGATGGGGCAAGTTGACGGGGCAGCGGGGACCGAAGCAAGGAGAAAGAGGTGAAACGAGTCAGAAAGGATGCCCTGTGGGAGCATTTAGCTATTGATATCCTGATTTTCAAGGGAAAGGTTTTCACAAAGATGTTTTTAATCACAGTTCAGTAGGTATAAATACAATCTTACGATAAAAAGCATTTAAAAATACATAAAACCCAAACACAACTCCCTGGGCTATTTTTAGCTGCATGATTGATTTCCACACATGTTAGGGATATTCAGGATTTAAGGATTCTCATTCCATGAGAAAATTTGTGCTGGATCCCCAAACAGACCACTGTGGTGGAGTAGTTACAATTTTGGATTGGGATTTGAGAGACTTGCGTTTCCATTCCCCACCTGACCATGAAGTTCACTGGGTGATTTGGGCCTGTTCCTGACTCTTGGCTTAATTCTGCCTTACACAGTTGTGAGGATAAATTGGAGATGAAAAGAACCATGTGAGCTACCATGGGTCCCTTGCAAACCGAAAACAAAAACCAGGATATAACTGTAATGAAGTAGAACATGCAGCTCATAGTAAATAAAGTACGCTTGGATTTGTTGTCTCACCCTGAGATGTCCAGGAGACAACCACTTGAAACCTGGCAAGCCTAACCAGCTTTTGTGAGGCAAAAAAATCTAGATTTTTTTTTTTTTTGGTAGTCACAAAAAAGCATGATTGTGGTCCCTAAAACATTTTCTTTTCTGACTCCTCAGAGTGAGAGAGGAGGGAATAGAAGTTACTGCAAGGGTCCCCAGTGTGGTACCCACAAAACTGTTCTTTTTGTCCCCTTCAAAAATGTATATTTAATAATATCTAATATCTAATCTTGAAAAACATTAGAGCACCAGTTTTTTCTTCATGTTCCTGAACCTACCACTTCAGCTGTTCAGCAGGCAGGCGAAAAAGGAAAGGGTTCCTTCCTGTCACAGCGATATTTCTGTCCATGCAGACCTTTCCCCTTTGAACTCTCTCTCCACCCGCAGCCTCCAGAGATGCTATTTTGCTTGCTACCCCATCTTAGCCTTTGTTTTTCTCTTTCTTCCTAGCCTCGCTCTTTTTTTCACCCTTCGCCTTGGCATCTCCCTTTCCCTTCAAGCCTTTAGTCTTGTTATGTCTGTCTGGACTAGCCAGGCCCCCATAGCAGCTACAACTCCATGGGATCCATTTTATAGAGAGACCCACAAAGCAGTTTCTTAAATTCCCAGATACACCCACAGGGCCAAAAAGTGTGGGGGCCCTAGGCTATTACATATTTATTCTAATTCTTTAACATTGAAGAGTTGGGTCCAGAATTCATTGTACTTAGAACCAAGACAGACATTACTAATGTTGTTTGTGTTTTTACTCTAGAGTAAGCACAGTGCTGCAGTTCCAATCAGAACTCTAGCATGGGTAGACTAGGCTTGTAAGGTCCAGGTCTGGGCACCTGCTCAAGAGTAAAAAATGAAAAAAGGTACATTTAGATTTACAGTATTTAGATAAATTTTAAAAATTCTGCCAGTTTTGGCACTTGGATCCATTAAAATCAATGGGTCAAGTTAGTAATGACTGACTCAAGTCCCATCAATTTCAGTGGTTCTATTCTATTGTTGTTCTATTCAACAACACAGCAACAACAAATTCTACATATGACTAAATCCAAAATGAACCCAAGTTGAATACAAAGGTTGGTAGACTATGAATAGAATTGTGATTCCTTTTACTTATCAGTTACTCTTACCTGTATTGCATATTGTATTTTATGGTAGGTTTTATATGCTTCTGTATTTTTTAAATTTTGTATGAGTATACTGTAGGTCTTGCATTGCAGAGATTGCAATGCATAAGTTTTGTAATTAAATTCTATAGGTTAATTATACATTGCATTAAATGCCTGTTAAACCCGAACTTGTTGCCCAATAGTAGGTTGCAGTGATTGACCCTGTGCTCCAAAATGCACTGGAATGACACTGGGTTTTAGTGTTTTGAAAGAGAACAATGACTTTCCCTATTCATTTTTCTGTATTATTCAGCATTGTATAAATCCCTATATTGTATAATTATTCCAGTCATTTTATAGTGCCCTTCTATGCAGAATTAAGTATCCCTGATGACAGTGAATTATCAGTTGGTTTTAGACATGTCTATCTTTGCATAGGGACTGCAGGTGGTGCAGTGGTTTAAACTGCTGTGCTACTGGGCTGGTAGATCAAAAGGTCGCCGGTTCGAATCTGCACAACGGGGTGAGTTCCTGTTGCTCTGTCCCAGCTCCTGCCAACCTTGCAGTTCGCCCCCTAGAGTCAGGCATGACTGGTCGTAATGTCAAGGGGAAACCTTTTCCTTTTTCTTCGCATAAGATTGACCTGCTAACATTGCAGCCCTATACATATCTACTTAGAAGTAAGTCCCATTCTTGTCAACAGGACTTTCTCCAGCTCTGCAATAATTTTCCTGAAATGGGGCAACTAGAAAAGATTCTGCTATGAGTGCATTATATAGTTATATAATGGTATTATTTTCTTATTTATTATTTGATATATATGCTTCCTTTTTCTTTTTTAAAGAACTCAAAGTAGCTTACAACATTTTCCTCCTGTTGCACTCAGTCATATCCCTCCAACAAAAACCCTGTGAGGTAGATTAGGCTGACAGTCTGTGATTGGCCCAAAGTCACCCAGCTGGCTCCATGGCTCAGCTTGCCCAAGGCCCGGACCCACACTCTTAACTACTATACCACACTGGCTCTCCCCTCCACCCCATTTCTCTTCTTTTCCATTATCCAGCAGAGCAAAGATTGTTTCCTAGCTTAAAATTCTGCAATTGCTTATCAGTGAGATTATAATCTCAAGGTAGAGAAATGTCTCTTTCAGGTAGAAAATGAGCAATAAACCCAGTCTTCATACACAGCTGCAGGGCATGAAAAACATGGCTAAGAGGGAAGAAAAGAATCAGTTAACACCACAACAGAGCTTCCCCCCTTTTGGCTGCCTGTAGGGTTTGACTGAAGCCTTGAAAGAGCCCATTCTCTAGAAATCCCTTCACGTTCCAAGAATTTCTTCTGCAGGGAGGGTTCAGTGTCTCAAGCCAACAATCTCCTCCTCCCCTTCTGCAAAGCCCTCTCCCACCCCCTGGCCTTTCATATCTGAAAGAGAACTACAAGAAACTCAGGAACTGTCTGAACCACAACTGGTGGCAAAGCAAGGCTGCCAGCATCAGCAAGAAAGCAACTGCAAACTTAGACCTGTTACACGCGTGGCTTATACATCAGTCAAGAGTTTGTCACAACCCCAGTAACGATCAAATAATTTTGAAGCTCTCCTTGGAAAGCATGTAGATGGGAGCTGCGAAGATGAAAGAGAATCTAGAACAGCAATTCTTAAAATATGGCACAGTGCTTTGTAAACAGTGCAGGTGAATGCTCTGTTTGCAGGTTGTCCGCTTTGGATTCTTCTTAAGGGTATAATGGGGTTCAAGCAAAAAGTTTCTTCATAACCAACATCTAAAAGAAAAGAAAACTCAGTGTTGGTATCTAAGGTTTTATACTGTATTTGTATACTTTTTGTTTACCTTTTTTCTCTCAGATTCTAGCTTTTCACACAAAAATCCTTCTTTTCACCTGTGCGGGTTAAATCTGCTTGCATCACCGTTGTTGTTACATGCCATCCAGTTGTCCCCAACTTATGACAACCCTATGAACAAGCACTCCCTAATTTGTAGGTTAAAAAAATAAGTTTTAAGTTCCAGGTAGACAATTCCTATCACTAATATGCTCCTGGACCACTATGAAAATGAAAGGAAAATGTGGAATACCTGTTCTAGTGTGAACAATAAGCACCAATTTAAAAGGTTTTCTGCACTCCGGTACATTAGTATTCTGCTAGATGCTTGGGGTGCTGGGAAAGGGGACTTGGTCTCTATGTGCTTTGTGCTACTGAGATTTTCTGTGGTCAGGATAAATGGCTGGACTAGGCTTGAATACATAGAGCACAGGAAGAGCTGGCAGTGCTACCTTGCAACAGTTGTTCTTAGAACCCAGTATATCCAGTAAACTGCCACCTGAGTGTAGAAAGATCTGAATTTTAATCCTGAAACCTTTCAAGCAGAGTTCTCTAGCTGATTGCAAAGCAAAGGAACAGTTGTTCAGGATTCTCCTTAAGGATGGGACAGAAAGCAATGCTTTTAATAATGCTTATTTCATTTTATACCACCCCATAGCTGAAGCTCTCAAATTTAAACCACAGGGAAGTGTATTTCAGTGAAACCTTAGCAAGAATATATATTACGAGCACAGAAAGAAGATGCCTAGGAGAGATGCAGAACATCTTGCCTTGACAGTTTCCAAGGAAATGTTGGCTGGGCCAGCTCTGTCATTAGACAGGATGAGGCAGTTGCTTGGGATGACAGAAGCTTTGAGACAGGAAGGAGGACAGAGCTGTGTGTGCCCTACAGCCTGCCCTGTACCCTCTATATTAGCCTGATGCCCTCAGCTGCTGCTCTGTCACCAGTGTTAAGGCTAAATCAAATTACCAGTCCAGTTGGCTTCACACATGAAATGTTGCAGGGGGTGGGGTGTTGTTTGGTTCTTTGTCTCAGGAAGCAGCCTATCTTAATCAGGATCCAGATGTTGGGCAAGATAATCAGAATCAAATATAGAAATTTGACCAGTACACAATATTGAGCTATTGGTCTGAAAGGAAACCTTAGCGGGTTTGCACAGCATGAGAACCATGTTGAAATCTTACCATTGAGGGTATGTTGACCCAAAATGGTGGAGAGAATCAATGGTCTCTTCTAAGGTTTCCACATTTCATTGCGGCCAGGACCACCATTTAACCATCATTGGTATGAAAATACCATAGAGCCTCCTGGGAAGAGTGGCCATGGAAGTGGCCATTTTTAACCTTCAATCTCTATTGCCCTAAGTTTCCTAGGAACAGATGAGTCCTTGTTTGCTTTATCCCCATTGGCCAAGCAATGTGTCTATCTCCTTGTTTACTTTTGGAAACATGGATTAGCTGGGAAGTGCTACAGACATGTAAGTACATGTTGGAGGAGGAAGGGGGAAAGCCCACCCCAGGATCACTGAGGACAAATCGGGAGGAAGCTGCTGTGAGCCATAGGCAAGAATAAGTATGGGGATTGCACTCCTGGGATGCATGGAGAGGCTGTGAGGATGGAGCAAGGAGCATGGAAACTATGCTAATGTGACCAGTAAGTTAGCCCAGAATCTGCATGCCATGGAAACAGTGTAGGGTCAGTTCTGTTGAGTGAACCCAGCTATAATCAAGTTCTATAAAATGCAAGCCTTTTGTGCTTGTAACGAGCACAGAAAAGATAATTTCAGTCATTGTGGCTTTTCTGTTACTATGATGACCTTCAAAAGTACATTTGAACAGGATACTTTTCTATGCAGTTCCCACTGAAAAAATAGGAGTTGGCCATGACCAAGAGCAAGATATTGTTTCAGCTGGTATCTTGCTTTTCTTTGTTCACCAGCCAACCAACAATAAGCACATGAGGGTTTTTTTCCCCACATGAGACATTCCTTGTACATTCCTCATTCCTTACACATAACTGTGTATAAGTTTTTTTAGCTGATGTCATGATCATCCAGTTTCACCTCTGTTTTTAAAGAGCACTTTTGTCAGTTTTGTTTTGTTTTGTTTTGTTTTAAGAGCAGGGAAAATACAACATGTTTCTATGGGAGAAAGAAGATGCTTTTTCTATTTGTGCTTTTCCACTATACGACAGTGTCACCTAGAGGTTATGTAGCAGAAAAGCAGGTAAAAAAACCTGTAGTGGTCGGGTTTCAAATCTGTGACAAAACCAAAAGTAGATACAGTGGGTTAACAGTCTTCCAGAGGAAAAAACATGTGTAACAATAAGAAAAAAGAGCACATAAAACTAATTAAAGGTAAAGGTTTCCCCATGACATTAAAGTCCAGTCAAGCCTGACTCTAGGGGGCAGTGCTCATCTCCGTTTCCTAGCCAAGGGAGCCAATGTTTGTCCACAGACAGTCTCCGTGGCCATGTGGCCGGCATGACTAAACACCGAAGTGCACGGAACGCTGTTACCTGCCCACTGAAGTGGTACCTTTTCATCTACTTGCATTTGCATGCTTTCGAACTGCAAGGTTGGCAGGAGCTGGGATGGAGAAATGCAAACTCACCCCATTGTACAGATTCGAACCGGCAACCTTTTGATCAACCAGCACAGCAGTTTAAACCACTGTGCCACCAGCATCCCTTAAAACTAGTTAGCCCACTTTAAAAAATGTGAAGATTTTTTTTTTAATATCAAAGTCAATTTGATAAGTGTGTGTGTGTCTCCTTTCTGAGTGGGCAAGAATATCATTGATAGGAAACTTCCTTAGGGAGGGAATTGCAGAGTTGGGATGCATTCACTAAGTAAGCCCTGTCTTGTGTCTCTGTCAAATGTGCATCATCCCTTGATGGGGCTGAAAGATGGACCCTCTGGAAGTTTTCCAGGCTCGGGCTTATAAGGAAGATGCTGGTCTTTCAGGTAATCAGGTCCCAAGGCATCCAGGGATTTTAGGTCATACCCAGCAGCTTGACTCGCCCCCAGAAGTGAACGGCAACTAGCCAAGGACACCACTGCAACAGGGCTGCTTGCATCTGCCCAGAAATAGTGTTCTTTCACAGGTTCCTTTCATTTCATTGGAGTCTGGAAAGTCTTCTGTTGCTGATAAAACCATGTTGCAACTTTTTTCCCCAATCCAGTTGCTGCTGCTTATTTGGCCTACTTGCTAAAGCCTTCCTGGATATTCTGAGGGTTACTAATCATATAACTCCCTGTCCTGTATTGTCAGTTTTAAAAGCCATCATCTTCCTTTCTCTTCAGAATTAAGATGCTTTTCTTTATCTTTTACACTGTCCTTTTTATTGCTAAATGTGTGCCTAATTGAATAAAAATGTAAATAATTTAATTGCTTTATTCACAAAGTGTCAGATGCCCAGACTCAAGCATGTGTACCCTCTAATCTGGAAGTCTTTATGTAAGAAAGACACTGCACATGCTCAGAGGCATTGCCATCTGGATGCTTATGTTTTGTTGCTCATGCATGGTACTGAATGAGAGACCAGGGTAAGAGAATGGAAGTCCCTGCTTTGAATCCAGTTGCTGCCATGAATTTACCTCATAAACATTCTTCCTCAGCCCTTGCATCAGCAGTATGGGAAAAATAATACTATCATATTATTTAAGAAATACAATATTTATGTTTTGCCTTACACAAATTATATCTTTCACTTTCAACATATTTATTTATTTAAAAGCTTTTATGTTCCATCCTTCACCAAGTCTCAGGTGGCAACCCTAAATATATGTGCCTGAAAGGACTGGCAAATTTGTAAAAAACAAAGTTCCCATATTAAGAAATAAGGCATATGAAAATAAATTGGAAAATTTAAAGGAACATCCTGTTCAAATGGACAGTAAAATCAAACATTCCTATGTTAAAATGCTCACACAGAAACTAAGACAGGTTTTTATCCGGCACTTGAATGATTATGCCAAGAGCGTGGATGAGCCTTCCTAGGAGGGCGTTGCCAAGGCCAAGAGCCACCACCAAAAAGGCTCTCCAGACATCGTCTGTGGGTGGGCAGTGGGATAATATCAACTGATTATCTCAGTGGAAAGATGGGTTGACATGGAAGGAAGAAATATTAAGTATGTAAATTACTTTGAATTCATTCTGCTCTCATGTTCACTTATTACTATTTTGCAGAACCTGAGCCTTGGGCTGAACCTAAACCCAGGGCTGAACCCAGGGCTGAACCCAAACTACTGTATTCCTCTTCCCCTGTTGTACCCATTTAAGATCAATATCTCAAGTACCAATTTGCTGGTCTCCAGGTACATTTTATAGACCCATGATGTATAATATATGTCTGTCATTTTTTAGAAAGGCTGCAAGCTTTAACAGGTCTGGGCTGCAGTGCTGCATCCATTTAACCAGCAGAAATTTCCATGGAGCTGCACAGAAGTAATTTCTCAGCAGGCATGGCAGGACTGACTAATCAGCACATCGGACGGCAATCCTATATACACTTACATGAGCACCTCATTGAACTTACATCTGAGTGGGCATGTATAGGACTGTAGCATTAATTGCCCAAATGGTGATTGGCAGGGGCAAGCTTAATCTATGGAGTAGAGGGCTATGAACATAATTTGCACTGACGGTATGTTGACCTTTGTATATGTGTGAGAGATAAAATGGCAGAACAGTTTAAAGAATAAGTGTAGTAGCTTTTCTTCAGTATATATTAGGAGCTTCCTGCTTCCTTCATTCTTTCAGAAGGATAGGTTCGAGGTTTTGGTTTTGGAAACTCGAGGTTCTGGAAATCTAAATGTATTTATATTAAATAATCAAGATAAATCTCTGGCCTTTCAACCAGTTAATCAACTAAAAGTTAATTATCTGACTCCTTGTCAAATAGCCATTTCTTTTCTCCACCTCACTCAAACTTTATAGACTTCTCTGCTCCCCACCCTTCTCCAAATACCATTATTCAATAGCAAGTGCATATATGTAATATTACAAATATTTTTTGATGATCCTTCCATCTGTTTGTCCTTTCAAGGCCAGACCCCTGAAAAACGGAAGGTCTCCAAATCGCTCAAGAAGAAGAGAAAGTTCTATCTTCAGTAGCAAGGAGGCACAAGAAAAAAGTTTAAAAAGTTTACTCCCCCGTTTATTTCCCACGAGGCAGAGAATGCCTTTGACGTGCTCCAACGGAGAACTCGTTTGCCACTCCCGAGGGAGCCGGAATCCTTTCCGGGGGCGCGCTTAGCGCGTTCACGAGGCCAGAGAGAGAGGGAGCGAGAGGAGGTGGCGGCTTTTTTTTTTTTTTTTTTTTTAAGGAAGTAAAGAAGGTTGAAAAGTTGGTTGTGAAGGAAAGTGGGAAGAAATATTGCGGCAACAAGCCGGGCACGTTTTCCGAGCTTGTTGCAGGAAACAAAAACTTCCCTCTTCCTGGACGAAATTATGAGCTGGGATTTGCAATGAAAAAACAATGGGGGCCTTTCTTAGCCCCTGCTGGTTTTGCACGGGGATCTTCTTCGTTTTTGTCTGGCCAGGAATCTGGAGTACAGAAGGTGGGTCTGCATTCTTATGTCGGTATTATTTTTATTATTATTTTTAATTGATTGAGGAAGGCAACGGGGGGCGTAGGAAGGGGGGTGTCTTTTACCAATTTGGGAAGCCAAAGAAGTGGCTCCGGTTGGAAAACATCGCACGACACAGAGAAAAACTTCGTGTACAGCTTCTTGCTTCTGTGTGCGTGGATAAAAATATTGATCTGATGTCAGCACAAAGCCAAGTCAGGGGAGAGGAGAAAAAAATCTGGTTATTTCGATTGTTGAACACTGCGGGGGTTGTGACCGGTGGATCTTGGAAAGGGGGTCAGATCTGCTTCCCGTTGAAATTGACCGCTCTGAGCGGGTTCGCTGAGATTACACGTTCAAGATCAGCAAAACGAAAATCGTTCTGGAAGGATTCTCTTCCCTTGAACATGTCGCGTATCCCCCTCCCTTTGTAGCCCTCGTCCCAAATCGCGCTGGTCAGAAATTATTGCCTTTTCAGCCCCGCCCTTGCGGGACGTGTTTTGCATGGGCCAGCGAACAAATCTAATCCGTAGTAGCGAATATAGTAGTTATTCTGCTTAATATTCAGTTATTTGAGGTTTATAATGGGTGGTCCTTTTTTCCGTGCGACTCTCTTTATTTCAAGTGTAATGTTTGGATTGTGTTGTGAGGCTTGAGTGTGGTTAAGCTTTGTAAGGAGGAGGGAAGAGAAAGTGCCAGACTTCAGGACTCTAGCGCCTTTCATAGCAAAACAATAAATAAAAAGTTTGCCTTCTGACTTAAATTCTAATGGATCGCCACTGTGCATTAAGCTTTCAAAGTTTTAAAAAGGCAAGCTCTGGATCTCTTTACCCATCGAGGCATGACAATGCGCCCGATGAGATCAATGGGACTGATTCTCAGATTGACTAATATTGACTACTAAGATCGCCGCCTTAGTTGCAACTTTAGTTGAGCAGCCCTGGAATCTACTGGACTTCTACCACTGGAAATTTAGTAATGGCCCATTTCCTTCTACCTGCCCAGAAGCTATTCCATGCAACTGTATATTTCACCTTCACAAACATGCATAAAGAGAAAAGGGGTATCCATTGGGATGCTTTAATCCTCACTTCTCTGTGGAGCTTCTGTCATTTTCATGCTGAATCCTTAAATGCAGGGCTAGTCAACAGCTCTGGGCAATAAGATATCTTCATGTGGATTTGTTTGTTTGTTTTTCCTGAGTTCAAGCTACAAGGAAATGGGGAGGGTAAAGGCTGTTTTTCAGAACAGAGTTCAGTTGAGCCAGGTTAATAACACACAGAGGATATTATATGCAGTCCAGGCAGCTTCCCTGTATATTAAATCTAAACAGATTCTTTTAAAGGGACATTAGAAAAGCATTGTCAGATTCTCCAAGACTGGGAGAAAGGAGCTTGGCAGCTAATGGCTGGTGCCTCCTGGGTCAGGGGATCAAGTTTGGTGGGATAAAAGGGACATAAGAAGTTACAGTTATGTTATCAAACCCATCCAGCTCACTGTTGTCAGCAAGTTTTCCCTGACACATAGCCCTTCAGGTGTGTTGGACTACATTCCCCATAATCCCAGGGATGGAAGCTGAGTGCATTTGGATGGGCAGCTGGTTGGGAAGAGCTGCTCTGCATTGACTGGCAGAAGCTTTTCACAGTTTCAGGCAGGGTTTTAGCCACCCTGTAATGTTTGTCCTTCTCTGGAGTTGAGACCCTGAGTAGAAGTAAAAATCCTGAAATGTTCATGCTCTGAGATCCTGGAGCTCTAATTTCAAGTCTGAGTAAATGAGTGGATTGAGCTCTTCCTACTGTAGATGGATTTCAGTGCAGTGGTGAGACATTTAAGTGGTGCCCATTTTAGGGAACAACTCCCTGGTAGCAAGTCCATTTTGAGGCTCAATTCAAAGTGCACAGATACTCATAAATTGGCGGTTGTTCTTGCTTTGGAGCAGGGATGGGCAAAAAGAGGCCAACCTCCAGATGTTGATCTGAAATTGACATAGTTCTTCACCTTTGGCTATTCTGGCTAGGGCTGATGGGGGGTGTAGTCTGACCACATCTGAAAGTGTATATGTAACCCCCCGCTTGGTATGAAGTATTTAAAGGAGAATTTATTTGTCTCATTTCTTTGTCCCTGTGTTGTAACTTCTTCTAAGGATGCCTGTGCCTTCTGGGGGTGTTACAAGGGCAAGCAGAGTTTTATTTCACTTACTACATTTCTGTACAGGACAGTAACCAATGTATCTGGGCAGTTTCCAAATATTGTTGGAGTTGGGGACTTCTCAGTAGCATGAGTACCTTTCTATGGTACTCTCTAACCTGGGAAGTCCCTTCAGCAACTGTACTTCTCTGTTTTTGGAGATAGGTGAATTCCTTTTTAGAAGTATCTTCTGCTAAATTTTAGCTGTTATCAAGTGCTGGTTAATGCAATGAATTCTTTACTGCTTTTATGGCTGAAGTTTAATTGTTTTGCAATGCAAATTAACATTTTTTCATATATTTTGGAAGCTTTTACAAGAGTCCCTTGAGTTAGATGTCAGGATGAAGATATCTCCTACTACACTCCATTGAGCAAGCTTGCACATAATAACAAATTCTGGCAATAAACCATGTGGGTTGGTTGTTATGTAAACAACCCATGGTGAATCTGACAGATGATCACACTCACCATAGCTTGTTTGTCCCCCTTCTGCCCCTTGGTCCTCCTATAGACATCTCAGAGGACCCCATGGTAGGACAAACTTGTCACCCCCTTCCTGCTGCAATCACAACTTTCTGTCCCTTTACCCATTTCCCAGAGATTGTGAAGTCCGGCTTGACACCCAGCTTTGGCAAACTTTGTTTTGACAACCACAGACAATCCCTTCAGATTGCCCAAGGAGCACCTTGGAGGAGCTGTCAGTGGTTGGCAAACTTCTTTTATTATTTTTGCACAGAAAATTGTATTCCTTATTTTTTAAAAAATGCTGCATTTGTGGGAGTACACTTACATGACTGCTGAAATTCGGGGCTTCAGTTGGGCAATGCGGGGAAGTATTTGTGCAGGTACCAACTAAGAACCCCAAGAGAGTCCAAGTAGGCCTCTTCTGTAGCCACCACAATCCATTTCTCCATTGCTTCCTATCTATTACAGCTGCCTCATTATGATTGGCCCACTTAGGCTTTTCTGTGGGTTCTCCTTTCCCCTCCTAATTGTATCTCCATCTTGTTCAAGCTTCCTAACCAGTTGATTAACCAATTAGGATTGATTCCTAACCAATCTAGTCCCCAGATATGTTTTTAAACATGAAACACTTCAATTGCAGTTCCTTTCTTTTCCCTCTGTGTATTTTCCCCTGTTTCAGAAAGTAAACAGGGTGATGCGCACAGCACTCAGCAGAAAGAAACAAAGTAAGTGATGCTTGGAAGCTATGGGTGGTAGAGAGTGGATGCTTGGAACAGTCTCTTCTGTTGCCACTCTTTCCATAGGACTCTATGGCGTCTTTTTACCTTAAAAAAAAACAAAAACGGAGCTCCTGGGTCCAAACATCATGACAGACAATCGTGCAAAACAGGAACCATTTAAGAGACCCCTATTTCTTGTTATGACTTTCAGACCCAAAACAAGCTGTGGTGATATACCATGACTGAGCCCAAACAACATTACAAGCCACATTGATTAAAAAAAAAAAAAACACTACAATTGCTTGTCATCTCATGTGAACCCTGTCAGTTTATACTGATAATGGTATGTAATACATTTGGTTCACTCGACATCCCATATTCAGTGCTGAATGAGTTGGGTCCACTATCTATTTTCATGCATATAAACCATCAAACAACTGGCTTGAACAGAAACCTCTTACTGGCTGGGATCACATGATTACCAGTAAAAGAAGCTATGGTGGCTTCCCTGTCGTGGAACTTTGCAATCCTGCCATAAGCAAGATTTTATGGCAAAGTTCATAGGAGGTGGTAGCTTCAAACCTGCCCAGAATCCTACAAGACGTGGATTTGGGGTGGTCTGGAAGGAGGCTCTACCATGTGTTTAGATGACATGGCAACATACATGGTGTGTGACCAGTTTGTATGGGTATGGGGAAAAAAGAAGCCACTGTGACTTCTTTTCCCAGTGAACATGTGAATCCAGGCTCTACCTTTCTGGTTGTCCATAATCAGTCATTCAGCAAGGATTTCAGTATGAACAAATGAAATCTTGCTCATTTATACCATCAACAGTTTCAGTTCAAAAACCGCCAGAAGCTGTATTTGGATTCTTCATAGTCCTATTTTCAAGTTGCACTTTTATTAACATTATTATTTTTAATTGACTCCTGTATGGTTACAGAGGTACAATAGTACAAACTTAGCTTTATAGTTAGGAAACTTGTTCCTCACCCCAAACCCCCAAAACAACAACCAGCACACACACACACACACACACACACACACACACACACACACACACACATGTAGCTTGCTGTTTCTGAAAGAAGTGCTTATAGGAATTTGCAAAGTTTACTGTATTACTTTGAGCATGAGGATTGAAATGCAATGAAATGTGGTTAGCACCATCCAGATCAATAATCTAGAGAGGCCTTTCATCACCTGGATGGAAAAGGTGATCTCACGTTTAGAACACTCATGTGGTAAAGCCCTCAGTGGGGTGTATAATTTCAGGTTGCATAGGAAGCTGTCAGTGCTCCACTAGGTCCAGTATTTAGTCTGGCAGGCAGTAGTTCTTTAGGGTTTCAGGCAGAGGTGTTCCATGAGTTATCTGACCCAGTATACCTGGGACTTCAGGTATGCAAAGCAAATGCTCTACCATGTGTATGTCATGTGCTTTAGTGCTCTCTCCATCAAAAACTCCATGCTTCTGAGAAAGGCTAGCATGGTAGGGGAAGTGTTTCAGCCTTTTTTTTTTTTTTTTTGCATTCTGCTTGGGGGTTTTTGTTTGTTTTAACAGATAACTTTAATTTTTTACAGGAAGTTGGAAGGCTTAACATGCACCCCCACTTGCTCTCT